CTACTCCTTCTGCTGCTGCTACTACTTCTTCTACTACTACCAGCAGCAGCACCACCAGCACCAGAACCACCACCACCACCACCACACTGCTCCTACTGCTTCTGTTACTACTATACCTGCTGAAGTATTGACGACTACTACACTAGCTAGTGTGATTGCTGTAAGGCATCCGACTGACATCTCCGACGGCTGCAAACTGCTAAAATCATAAAATCAATGCTGCCCTTCCTGCTGCTTCTATGCTCTTTCCAATCTGCAGCCCGAAAGCTTGTGGCAAAGAGGCTGCAAAGCCGGCGAAGCTATCACGACGTGACGATGCCAAAGCGCACAACCCTGAGCCCCCCTCTCTACCTCTATGTCCTCTACCCTCTCTGTCCCAAACAGAAGCTACCTGCAAAAAGAGCCCCGGGCTTTGAAAGCGATCGCGGAGCCTCTCCGGCTCCGGGGCATGTCCGGCTCTGCAGCACCACGCGCATGTCATAGGGCTTCACAAGGTTGATAATGACCTCAGCTCAGGGTTTAGGGTTTAGGGTTTAGGGTTTAGGGTCAGGGTTTGGGTGCTTGTTAGCCTTTGCCTTGCCGTTGCTGAATGCTCGAGAATGGGTTTTGCCTGGGATTGCAGCTCAGCACCGAGAACTAGGACTGATCTACATGATAGCAATGAACAAACGCCCCTCCTCCGAAATGTCCGATTGTCTCGGAGCAATGACTGTAGCAGTTGCATGTCATGGCCTAAGCTCTGATAGAAGAGCAGTGTTAAACATCACAACAAGTGTCTTGGAATCTGGAATTCTCTTTGTGAGCAGGCCATGGATCAAACCTTAGCATGGTGCCTGTGGCCAGAATTGGCAGGAATAAGGCTGTCTTCATCCGTCGATGCGTCGATGGTGTCCGTTCAAGTTCAAGCCGTACGAGTAGGATTGAGGGTTTACGGACTCCAGGAAAGGCTCATGGGGCGCAAATCCCTTAGGCCCCTCCTTGCAGCAGAGATTCATGATCCTGGTCTGGGCAATACCTGACGGAGTACTCGTAGTTGGCCAATCCACATCCATGATCGTTCCTGGGTTTGTTGAAACTTTAGCCGGAACTGCCGATGGCGAACCACTACCAGACTACATGCGACGACCGCTACAACCTGATTTCTGACCTGAAAACCCAGCATCACAGTATGCACCTCGCTGGGCGGGGCTCATGTTTTCATCCGTGGCACTTCCCATTGATTAAGCCTCACCATTAGCCAAAATCCCTGAACACTGAACCTAGACATGGAAAGGCCTAACTGTGGGTTGTGGCATCCAGGATATTAAGAAAGTCATCTGTACCATTCAGTACTATTAGCGGAGTAGAACTTGGGCTTGTTATGTTCAAGTTTTCAAAGCCACGAGAGCGGCGGCGGCGAAGCCAAAACAAGAACAACGTGAACAAGCTAGTCCCCCAAAGCAGAGAAACTACACATTAACTACGTATAGAACCGAAGAGGCCCTAACAAACCCCTGGGCTCTACAACTCTCAAAGAACCACGGCTCTCGATGGTAATGGCATTGTCATCGTTTTGGAACTCTGCGCCCTCGCACTCGGCCGTCTGGGGACCCTCGGCTTTCATGTCCACAATACCTCATTTTTTTCGGGGTTTAGGATCTTGGAGTGTTGAAGATGGAGGGCTTGGAGGGTTTCGGGGGGTTTAGGATCTTGGGGTGTTGAAGATGGAGGGCTTGGAGGGTTTCGGACGGGAGCTCGTCCAGCGCAGAATTCAGGCGTTACAGAGTTTCTTCGCTGCGTTGTCCGTTGGAGGGCTTTCTGCCTCAGGTTTAGGGCCATGGAAGACAACGGTTTAGGGTCCCTTACCCGTGATGCCCGAACTAGGGAACCCTGAACCCTCAACCCAGGGCTTCGGGAAGGCTGAGGGTTTCGCATCGCTGTCTCCGACTTGTACGAGGGCGCCCGGTTTCGGGTCTAGGCGCCCGCCTTCCCTGCTGTTCTGAGTCTGCAGGCTTTAGGGTTTTTATTTTATAATGCAATGGCCCAGGGTTTAGGGTTTGGGGTGCAGGTTTAGGGCCAGTTTAGGGGTTCGGGTTTGGGGGACTGGGGGGGTCGTCTTGTCCGAAGCTCCAAATGCTAGCAATCGGGTGATGCCCACAGACACCCGAAAAAGGACTGAAGAATGGATGTAGCGCGCCTTAACCCTTACATACTGAGACCCTCAAGCCACTTCACTTCCAGAGGGATTCGCTAAGCTAGGTTCCCTGACAGGGGGAAAGGGGTGCAAACTGCCCACCTGCCCCAAATGCCCTCATGGCCTGGAGAACAAGAACTGGTCTGATGTGTGGTGGTACCTCATACTACATTACAACAAAGAACCCTATAGGGAACATGTAGTATTAACTACTAGTTTCATGAGATTCAGGCCCCTACCCTAGGTTCGATGAGTCCCCACCTGTGGAGCCGTCATAGCTCAGGACGTGGAGCGAGAAGCTCTCGACAAGCACCTGGCCCCCGTAGCAAGAAGGAGCGTCCTGCAGATGTCAGCGGCTGTAGGTTGTAGGGCTTGCCGTTTCGGAGCTCACTCTCGGACGGGTTCAGATGTTCAACGCTTTCGATTCCTATTTCTTCGTGGATCGGGTGAGGACCGGTGAGGATGCACTGCTTTGGGATTGCAGAGTGTAGGCTTCTTTCTACATTTGGCCCTGGGATGAAATGCGAGCACGGCCAGCGAAGCACTAAACCCAAGCCCAGTAGGGCTTGGCGGATTACTTGTTCGAGTTTAGGGGCGTCCTGAGACAAGCCCCCGCTGCCAGTGCAAGCCACTTCATCGAAGAGCTTGCGGGGCACGTCGGAGCCACGGAGAGACTGGGGCTCGGCTGCCACAAGGCAAGGAAGCACCAAGAAGAGCATGCGAGCCATGGCGAGGATCACGGGATATCGAGAGCAGGAGGAGCGCAAGCCAGCTAGAGCCGGAAAAAGCTGGCAGGAAGCGCTGTCTACAGGGCTACTTGTGTCAGAATGCGGCCGGCGTAGCTTGCCACGGTGAGAAAACAATCTTCCATGTGCTGCCGAGAATGTGCTGGGCTTTCAGCGGGCACAGCCCTCAAGGGCTTTGGGATTTGGGGCAATTCCAACCATTGACCTCGCGGAGGGCTGGTCATGGGGTATTCTGAACCTCAAAGCCCAAACCTGAACCGTCAGGGGCGCAAACCTAAAAAATGCGAAAACGCCCCAGACCCTTGGCCCAACCCTAGAAGCCTAAACCCTAAACCCTAAACCCCAGAAGCCCAAACCCAAAAAACAACCCGCAACTTGGCCCATGTTCCTGGCCTTAGCTCCCTCCAGTGGCTCCAGCCGCCATGGCCGCACAGGAAGTCGGACGTAGCGCCTGGTCTTGGGGCTGCACTTGTCTTGGGTTTAGGGTTTAGGGTTTAGGGTTTAGGGTTTAGGGTTTAGGTTTCGACTCACACACTCGCACTCAGCAGGCATGGAAGAGTCGGTCTGAGCTTGCTACTGGGACATGACGCTTGCCAAGGAACCACAGAGCACGGTAACAGCAATACCCAACAGAAAGGAGTCAATAAGCACTAAGACACAAGGAACTAGGATGACTGGACTCTCACAAACCTGGCAAAATCGCCATACAGCGAACTAGGCGATACTACCTAGCAATATTAGGTTTAGGGGGTTTTTGGGGTTTCGGGGTTTTAGGGTTTTGGGTTACTGGTTCCTTGTTGGGGGTATATTAAAAATGATCATTTTTAACCCTTGTTAGGGTTTTATTATAACAAAAATGTAAAATTGTATCCAACAAGGACCCAGGTTTGGGGTCTTGAGATTTTTGTTGGTTTAGGGCAGCGTGCGACTGCGGATTCGGCATGGGATCCCCAAGGCGGGCCGTACTTTGGAAGAGCTCCCAAGAGACTGAACTGCTGACTCACCCTAAACCCTAAACCCCTAAACCCCTAAACCCTAAACCCCTAAACCCCTAAACCCCTAAACCCCTAAACCCCTAAACCCTAAAACCTAAACTCATGTGGCATCATCCCGAGACATCTTGTCAAAGATGCTTCTCAGTCACGCGGTGGTCCGAGATCCCTCCGGGCCGACATAGGCCACACGGTCCCCTCTGCTTTGAGTGGGGAACCTATCAATCATACCCGACCTGGCGAAGTCCGAAGCACCGTAAGAAACCCTACAAGCTTGAAGCCCGAATCCGTGCAACGGTAATCCTGGAGCCCGTTTTTATTTTCTGGGCTTCCAGCTGTTTCCATTCTTTGGCCTCCTGCATGTCCGGGTCTCTGGGGAGAGATTGCTTTCGAGGATTTGGGCTCCGGGGCTTTGGAGAAATGACTTCCCTCCAAGCATGCGGTAAAAGCGTCGACGGCGATCATCTCTGGAATGATGAAAGTCATGTCCTAGCATCTCAACTCACATGTTGGAAAACAGTTTCAGAGCTGCTCATGTAAGTGTTCATGAGATGACACCGGCTCTTGGAAACAGTTCGATAACATGCCACAATGCTTGACTCGGGGCTACCACTCAAGAACACCTAATGTAGGGGCTTTAGTAATTAGAATAATTAGGGATTTGGGCTCCTTCATAGTATAGCTATAATCAGGAGCCCCAAGGAATCATATATTGGTGATTATTTAATCTGCTATTTTAAGTGTTACTCTTGACTCGAACCCGAAATGCCTCACGACACCGGCACCTCCATACTCGAAAGACTACATGTAGACGGTGGGTTGAAAGCCTATAGAGGCTATCTCAATCAACCGCTACTGCAAGCTCGAACGACTTAGTTGTTCCTGAAGCGCCCTCGTGCAGATTTCAGCACTTCACAACCCAAAAACCCTTCTCCCCCTCTCACACGTCGGACGACAGGGTGCCGATTCGTTACTGTCAGGTTTGACAAGATCCGTGAGCTCACGGGCAGCTCAGCTATGCCCAGATGCTGCGAGCAATAAACCCAAAGCCACAGGAGAGCGCCTCCAGGTATTTAGCAAGCTGCTCCTTTGCCTCCTGCAGGGCCTCCTGGCAGCATCCAGGGCATGGGCTTTTCAGGATTGCACTAAGCCTTGGTCACTAAGCCTCAACAGCCCGAAAACTTTAATCTTAAATGGGCCTAAATACACCCCAAACCCTCAACCTGGCGCCGACGGCGTCGGGCCTACGCCTAAACCCAAAACCGTAAGCCCCAAACCCCAGTCAGAACCCTGAACCATTAACTTCCCAAAACCCTAAACCCAAATCCCTGAACCTCAAACCCCTCTCATCCGAGAACATCTGCCCTCCTAAACCCAGCGCCTTCGACTCAGAGGTTTAATCGGGCCAAGATGTGTATACAAAAAACATCCCCAACCTTGATTATTGGACCTTTCGAAACGGAGACAGAAACTTCCCTCGAGCCTACACCCACGACATCGCAAATCCAAACTCCAGATGCGAGTAAGCAGTGGAATTGAAGTTTGGGAGTCCCGTTTGTCGGGGGTTGGGGGTGGGGGGTGACTCTTCAGGTGCGAGACACTCCGAAACCTCTCATTTAAGGAGCACACCTTACATCAAGGGAGGGCTCCCTCTATGATTTGGGGTGTATACAAAAGCCTTTCAAACCCACTTATAAACATCCCCGTAGTTTAAATCCATGGTCCATGGTGCTCAAGTAAGGTGCTTGGGAGTCTCAGCGTTCGGGAGCGGCTGAGCTGCCCTCCTGCGCCTCGACTTTCGCGTCTGTGGCGGCCTGGCCAGCGTTGTTCTTGTGGGTGTCAAGCTTCGAATATACTAGGCTACACTGTAAGACACAAAAGTATACCATAATACACTATAGTGCGCTGTAATATGCGGTCATATAATAGAATATACTGCAATAGACTACAATATATGCTATAGTTTTACGGGTTCAGGGTTTGGGGGTTTATGCTCCCGGAACCGGGGGATGGCAAGACCAGGCCTCTTGGCTCGCAGTCTGTTGCGACAGTTGGGAAACTGCTGGTTTTCATTTGGGGGCTTGCTTGTGGTTTAGGGTTTGGGGGGGATTTTGGGCACGTGTTCGGTTTCTATATTCCGCAGGTAAGCCCTGGACCAAAAACCAGAAGCGCTCCCGTTTCCCTACGAGTCCGGTGTCATTTAAGAAACCCTGAACACGGTTGCACGGGTGCTACTGTGAAACCTAGGTTGGCTGCGGCCTTTCGTCTTGAGCCTGTCTGGCCAGCTCCGCGGTTGCCACACGCTCTGATTGTCATCAGAATCGGCTCGTCGACCGAGCAGTATGTGAATCTCAGGTCGGTCTTCCAGCCTCTTGCGAACCTCGTCAATCATAAAATCCCTCAAAGCTTTGTACTCATGCCGGTCGAGCGCCTGACCATCGCCTTCCCTGGGTTCAGAATGAACCGCATGCAGCGCAATCGGGACATGAGTTGCCCTCGCGCCTCAACCTTTTCATCTCAATGAACCCGAATCGCCACACTCGGGAAGTTCACTTCCCTACATTCTGTGTATCCCCAAACTGGTCGCCGATCGCACTTCACATACTGGATGTGCATACCAAGATCTGCTTCAGTTCGGCTTTCTCACTGTCAGTCAAGACGCCCCCTCAATTCTTGGTGATGTTGCCCAACCATTTCCCTGTTCTCCCTGAGGCACCAAATCACACCTGAAGAGAAACGGGTCCCTGCGAAGGCGGAATTTCTCCCGAGCGATGCACAACGATGACACATCAATAGAAGGCAAAGGCACGTTGAGAGATTGCCAGTGCCCTCATATGCAATTAAAAACCTTAACAAACCCACTATGGTGACCAACAAACAGAAATGCAAGAAATGCGCAGCCGGGACTACAGTTCAAACCCCTCAGAAATCAAGAGCCATTTGGGTTGAGATTTAGCTCGACCGCTGTTTGGGGAGCGCTTAGCCAATGTGCAGGCGCTCCTGTCCACGATTGCCCTTGTTATGCACCGTTCTGATGCCATCCCATACTTCTATTTCGGGTATGTTCGATTCCACATCGCATGTAGTGCTACTGGTATCTTTAACCTGAATTCGGAATCCGTTTCGGTTGCTTCTACAGGTGTACATGTAAGACTTGAAGAGACAACCTCATCGTTACATGTTAAGTTAGTGACATCTCCAAACAAAAACCTATACGCAATATGTTTAATTGGCCTTGTTTGCATGTGCTTAACAAGCAGCCTAAACAGCATATCTTAGTTGCACTTCAAGCTTTGCTGTAACAAATCTCTCGGCGAAGGCAGGATGCCCTCCAGTTCTATGTGTCCTCACTTTTCTCACCCTCCGAACAATCAACAACCGTATTACTCTGCAAAACCCTCGTCGCTGACAAAAACATGTTGCGGTTTAGTGCCCTGTTCTGTAGTCCTTCAAGTATTCCGGCCAGTCCCCTCATGTGCTTCGTGGCATGACAACCTGATGTATGCTGTCGTCAAAGTGACAGGGGAGCCCAGCGTGCTCTGCGTTTCAATTCGGCGGGCCGGGCTCGAACTCTTGTTCTTCTGCTTGTGACGAGATTTAGATCTACTGCCACGAAGCCAAAGCAACATGCCCCGGCAAGACGTGAATTCGTCGTTGGCTCAGAAGGCTCAGTTTGGGTCAGTGCGTGATGCCCTCTGCAGCGGCGGGCTTAAGACGCTTTGCTGGGGGTCTAATAAGTTCCTCTCCTGTACTGAAACTCCCTCATGCCGACATGCGATTGCCCTCTGCTGCCGCCTGAATCGTGGCCTCCGCAACATCCTCTGCGCCCTCCTCCTTTTTGCTAAGAAGCTGTTCCAGCTGTCTGCCGGCCTCCTGCCGAGGAACAGAGGAGTCTTGTGCCAAATAAAAAGTCGGACCATGCAAATGAATTAGGATAGCCCGAAACCCTGTACCTTATGATGTTTTGTTTTGTGGAAAGCTCGCAGCAAGGGCAATTAGTACTGCAGGCACATCACTGGGGCAGGTGAGGCCTGTAAACTTAGCACCAAGCCCCAGTTCGTTCCACCTAGCACTTTAAGACCTTGAGAAAATCAATCCTGCGCTTGGCATGCGGTTTTGACTTTGAGGATTGCCATAGAAACCGCAAGACCCTTCATTCCTGGCCTAAGACCCTAAACACAAGACCCAAAACCTCTAATGAAACCCAGAATCTAAAACCGCTAAACCTTCTCTCTCTCTCTCTCTCTCTCCTCCTTCTCTCTCTTGGACTCACTCACCTGTCAGCGGCGACGCAACAAAACGCTGCGATTTCGCGATGCGCGTGCACCTACAAACGAATACGAGAACTCTCAAGACCGCGAAATCTTAAACCCTAACAACCCTAAGCCATAAAGTAGCCTTAGCCCTCACAGCAATGCTCTCAGGAACCCAAACCCATCAGGCCGGAATGCCCCGCACCTCCCCCAAATCTGCAAGGATGCCTCAAAGTTCCCAACATCCCCACTCAGTCCTTCTCTGAAGGGTTCGGAGTTTAGGGGTTGGGGTTTGGGATCTGGGGTTTAGGAGTTTAGCGTTTTCAGTTTAGCGTTTGGGGTGGAGGGTTTAGAGTGTATGGGTTAGGGAGTGGCTAGGGTTTTGGGCGCTGACATGGCGTTGGATTTCGTCTCTCATGCTCACACACGGCAGACAAGGCGTCGCGACAATCTTTCTCGCTTGCCACGGCTGTGCCAGGCCGATTCTCAACCCACGCCAGTAGGCTGGGGTGCAGGGGTTAGAGGCATGGCTATGAGGCCGAAGTGGGGGGGTCGTGAGCAACTAGAACTACAGTTGTCTTTCTTAGAGCCTTACTTGAGCTGCCAAGGTCCTCGTGTGCTCTCCCTGCTGCTTTGACCTTGGCAGTGGGGTCCTCCGTGCGCTCCTGCGCTGAAACCGGCCACTCGGGAGTTTCGGAAAACAAGAGACCCGAATATAAACCTCCAACTTAATACTTAGTAGAATCCTTAATCATTGGGACCCGAACAGACCCTCATATAATCCCCAGCTAGTAGCCCTAAACCCTAAACCCTAAACCCAAAACCCTAAGCAGTAGCCTTCTCATCGGGACACGAAGGTCCAGGCCCCACACTCAAAGAACACGGCTTGTTCCCTGGGAGGTGTCGGTCTCCAGGGCCCGACCCTCTGGGACTACGCCCTGGAACTTGTAGTTTGTGGCTTCAGGGCTTTAGGGCTTAGGGTTTGGGTTTAGGGTTCAGGGGTTTAGGGTTTTTAGGGTTTCAAGCTTGCGGGGCTTCGGGTTTAGGGGGGCTTCCACCGTAGGGTTCTAAACTCAGTTGAACCGGGAACTTGCCTTCTAAACTCCACTCAAAACCCAAAGTGAACCCGGAAATACGACGCTGCCTGATTTTTTTTGGGGGGGGGGGAGGGGGGCGGGGGAATACTATAATTTATAGGGGGTGTATTACCAATTACTCAGACCCCGGAATTGCCTTTTGCCATGACTGCCGTTCTTGTTGCCGTGGCTCTTGCTGATGCTTCTGTTGTCATTGCTGGTAGCTTCAGTCCTCCGCATCTTCACTGCATGATGACCGCTGATAGAGGGCCGGCTGTTAGGATTCGGGTGTGCAACTTGAGGCTTCAGAGCTTGAGCTTCTTACTTGGGATGCGGGCGGAGATTAAGGCTGACTTCGATTGGGAGGCCTGACTCGTTAAGACAAGGCTGACACAACGGACAACAGTCGAGGTCATAGAAAATTGCGAACCGCGACATCATCACGACAAAGCAAAATCACAGCCATGACACGCGGCATTGATTGCTGTTCCAAACCCCAAGCCGCAACTATCCGAGAATGAAACTGCGGCCTCGGATCAGGTGACGCCTTTCGGCCGCACACGATGGGAAAGTATACATCTAGATGCACACCGCAACGGTGATAGAAACGAGAATCTGGTGATGCTGACCAGAGTCTTGAGAACAGTTATAAGAGCACTATGAACAATATGTGCGGTAATGGCAAGTAATGGCAATGCTAAAACTACACATACAACAGAACGAGTCCGAGTGGTGGCAGGCATACTAGGGGAAGTCCTAAACACACTATATGCAGGATAGCTGTTTTGGGACCAGGAGGAGGTAGCCTTTTGAGTAGGACTCGTTGTTGAAGGCCCGACAGCCCGATTTGTCGGCACCTCGCCTCCGACTTAAGGCTCTTTAGGCTTGGGGACTTCTCCCCGCAGTATCTTTGAGGTTAGGCAAGACCTGACTCCCTCACCTGCCCATCCCCACACACAACCCGGCATTGCACCTCCATGTGCAACGAGGCAGTGGCTGCACCAACATCCGGGACGAACTCAGCCGTGCTTTCGCGAGATAACACACTATGGCATCAGTGCGGTGGAGGACGTTCAATGGGCGACACTGGGGGCCCCAAAAGGTGACGTGGAGAATTGGTACGAGTAGCTGTTCGAAAAGACTGCAGAGCCATCACCTTTAGGACGACCCCCACTTGCAGGTGGGAGCTCAGTGGCGCACGTTGTGCTGCTTCATGGCACCAGTGATCAACTCCCGAATCGCCTGTCACGTTTGGGGTGCTTCTGAAACATAGGGCTCCTTCTGGGAGGTCTGCATAATGAGCACTCGATTATTTAGGGTCTGCAGACCCAGTTCCTCTTGGCTCCGAATGCGCGTCTGAAAGATTGATGGCCACAGTCCAAATTGACCCTATGCTACCAAAGAGAATTTGAGGACCGTCTTTCTCCTCATGAGTTTAGAGGTTCAGCTTTCGAGTCTCACACTCTAAACCCCAAATGACATCAAGTAGAAGATCCTCGGAATCTGCCAGAACGGCGGAAAGACGAGGATGCTGCAGATCTTTATCGGGTTCTACATGAGAATGCGCAACTAAGGGTGTGCTAGGAAAGATGAAGGTTCTTCCTCAAAACTGGTCCCGGGGCTTTCTATCGCTCTTCCGTATAGAAACCCACTAGCCTAAGCCGTGTGTTTTTTGCATCATGCTTTCTTTTGGGATTTAGACCTCAAAGCGTAAAGCCTAGACCAGAACCCATCGCGACCCTGAAGCACCGCCCAGCAAAGCCTCTAAAAGAAGCTGACACGCGGGCTTGGGCCGAGAGTCTGGAAATTCTGAAACCTTAGCCTTAAACCGTTTTTTGAGCCCAGACTAAAGCCTAACTCCGAAACCCTTTTTGCATCCGGGCTTGGGAATTCGGCCGGGGAAAGTGACGGAAAACAGCAGCATCGCGCCAAGCCGGAGCACTACTGGCTGCAGTGAAACCCGAATCCCTCATCCCTAAACCCTCGTCACTAAAGCCGAAGCCCGACCTCCACACCCCAGTCAGCGGACCCTAGGCCCTAAACTAAACTCTCAACCTCGGAACTGGAGCACAGCGAGCTGAGGCCTAACCAGCGGGGCGGGGGCATGGAACAGGGATGGAGGGCCCGACCACAGGATGGAAGCCCCGTTCGAGGAAGCCGAAGCCTCCCACGCCCTGAATCCTACCGCCGCCGCCTAAGTCCGAGACCCACAGAAAGTAATACGGCTAACGTGGAGTAGGAAAGGGACTCCCGCTGTAGGCATGAAGCCCCTTTTTCACAAGGGACTTGACTGCTGCCCCTACTGCCTAGCTCGACCCACAACACAGTTCTCATGACTGCATCGCGAGACCTCCGACCCCCTGGAACCTTTTGCATCCAGGCCTATTGTAACTGCCGAACCTGAAACCAGAAACCCCCGCCCCGGCTCCTCCAGAGAGTGGGTGTTTGACATCTTGGCCTCGGAAATATTCCGTTAAAGGGATCCATTAAGGGTTCCCTTTAAAGGGATCTATTAAGGGCAAGGCAGCCCCCTGAAGCTGGGACTTCTTTCGGCTCCGTGGTGTAGGTTCAGGGCTTCGACTTGAGGGTTTCGGCGCACACACTCGCACAATCCAGGCGAGGCAGGTGCTTCGAGGTCTGACTAGAGTGAAACAGACTCTGCGGAGCTCAGAAAAACAATCCCATCCCATAAGATCTTACTTAACTTACCAAAGATAGATAGACTACTCCCCACCATCACCACCTCCCCACCATCACCAACGATCCGTGCATTCAGCAATCTAGTTTTGGATCTCACGCCCTACATCTTCGTGGATCGTGTGCATCCGGGGGGTGTAGGAGTGCAGGACTTAGGAAATAAAATATAGGGAGCCAATAACTCTGTGAAATTGGCCCCGGTGATAGGGCGAGGTATGCTGCTGCCCGATCCCTGGGATCTTCACGATCTCCGGTGAAAGGTACTCCGAACCGACTCACAACGCTAGGATCAACATAGCCACTGCTAACGACATATAGTTTTCAGCACAACACTACCATGTCAGATGAAAATGGGCATAGCGCAAGCGGATTACGAATTCCTAGTTACCGAAGCATAGGGTTTAGGGTTGCATGATCTTAGGCCGTGTCTTTCCACTCTACCTGCCTGCATACCTGCCTGCCTATCTTCAAGCCATAACTGCCTAACTACCTAAGTTTCGAACTCTCGTTTGTCGTGCTGTAGGTCAGCGTGGTAGACAATACCGGCAAAACGTACATGCATGTGCAGAGGCCGGGCAACTAGTGTCGTGCCCATGTACTGGATCCTTTCTGTAGACTTAGTAGAAACAACACCCTGGAGTCATCTGGTTTTCAAGTAGGCCCAAGGGGGGCGGGGTGACAACAAAGCTTCAACGCTCGGGTTGCACTGCTGACGCCTGCCCTCGGTCCTTCAGTTCATGAGCATAAAACCTTGCGTACCGCAAAGAGCCACTGGGCAAACATATGTGTGACCCTGAAGACGACCGAAATCATGCAGTGTGCTGAAATAGGTTGGACTGCCACATTTACCCAGTAACCTGACATCTAGAGTGTTTGCAATCGAAACAGAAGGGTAATCGAAAACACATACGCAAGTGCGTCGCTATGTCCATGTGTGTGTGTGCCTGTTGGTCTCTATCTGCATGCCCTTTTTGCACAGACTTGTACATGCCTGCTTAAACCCTAAACCGCAAAGCCATTCATTTTGGAGGCTTCCACGATTGGAGCAGAGCCCGGGGCAAAAGAGGCTCGTACCTGATGTGGATCTGCGTAGAGGGTTTAGGGTTGGGGGTTTTAGGGTGAAGATTATCCTTTCACATGTACATATGTATATATACATATGTATATATATATATATATGTGTGTGTGTGTATGTATGTATATGTATATGTATAATGACCACCAAGTTTTGGGGCTCTCACTTGCTCAGCGCAGTGCCCGAACTTGCTAGGAGAAGGGTATCTTGGCAGTTAGCGCGTCAAGGCTGGAGGTTGATATAGGGGTCTGCATCATGAAACACAACTAGTACTAGTGTCGCCTTGTAGTCTCTGTATTTTCAAGTTTGGCATAATCTGCCCCCAAAACATATGAAGGTCCCAGGGCCCATGCAGGGTGCACAGTTATTTGCTTTGGGGTCTGTCCGAGGCCCTGGCCTCTAGTTCACTCATCGCCGCCGGTGGCAACCTCAGTGGGATTCGGCGTTTCTGATTTAGCCCGTCGACTTTTCTTCCAAAGGCGCCTAATCTAAGCCCACGAAGCATCGGGAAAGCCATTGTGGCTGCGGGACTCATGACGCCCTCTGCGCAGCTTAGCTTTCGGCTTAAGCAATTCCGAAATCGCCTAAGGCGAAGCCTGCAAACCCCACAACCCTGACATATCGCGCTCAGGCACGAATCGCCAAGCGCCAGCCACAGTGCCGCCAGGTCATAGACCTCCGGCTATCGAGGCAGAATGATCAGCAGCAATATGTGTGCTGCTTTAGAAGGCAGTGATAGTCGTGGTGGCAGTTGTCCTCCCCCTCTCCTCCTCGTCGTCGTCAGCGGTAGTAGGAGATGCAGCAGCTGCAGCAGCGCCGGTAGGTAGTAGGAGGAGGAGCAGCAGCTGCAATAGCAGTAGCAACAACAAACCACCAGAGTTAAATAATAACAAACCTGAAATGAATAGAGAAATGGGCTTCAAGTATATACTACCGACATCAGCTTTGAATGGTGACTACCGCCACCATCAGTCTGAAGAATGCTCCGTTCTGCGAGAGGACTCCTACCTGCAATTTCCTGGCTCAACCTGAGCCCTAAGAGCAAAAGCCCGAGATTTGGCCCCTCCGTTCCAACTAGACACAGATGCCTCCGCGTCTGCATCCACAGGCTCCTCAGACGGCTCCTCGTCCTGACTGCGGCACCACGAATTCCAGTGAGAAATCCAGAAGAAGAAGACCGATGATGGCGGCACAAAACCAGAGTATTCCGGTGCATGCCGTAGTTAGTTGGAGCCCAAAGAAGGCGCAAAATCAGAGTATTCTGGTGCATGCCGTAGTTTGGAGCCCCAAGAAGTGGTGAAGCAGCCCTAAGCCTTGCAGCCCTCTTCCTTTCCGGCCCTGCAGAGCGAAATCATCAGATTCCCACTTCCTTTTGATGTTTGTGTATTCTAATTCCTGCGGGTCAAGGGGAATGTTTGTGGTGTCTGCTGTAAGGATCAAGGCTTCGGGGTTAGCAGTTTAGTCACCAGAACTGCCGGTGCTCCTTTTCAGAGGTCTTGGCCGCGGCGACCTTACGCGAGCTGTCGAAATCTTCGGTAGCAGGGAGTGTAGGGCCCTGAATTTGCATGGGTTTTTATGGCATAAGAACGGTCGTCAAAAAAAAGCGATGGTTCGTCTGCATCCTAGGCCCCAGATTTTGAACTCGACTTCGCCCCTTCCAATGCCCTTCCTGATGCAAGATGTTCAGCTATTCTATCCTCGGCTCCTGGAAGGCTGCGTCTACGTGGCCAAACAAAGTTTTGGATAGTTACGACTGAACCCCAAACCTTAAACCTGGGTATAGTAGGAATAGTGGTAGTAAGAATAATGACAATAATCATCATCATCATCATAATCATAACAACAATACTAGTAGAAGCATTAACAATCGTTTTAATAGTAAGAATAGGAATAAAAACCCTAAACCCGAAATCTTAAGTCTTAATAGTAACAATCATATGCATGGCCCAGGGAGCTGGACCCGGCGGTGCAGGAGCGTCTTATGCAAGCTCCGGCCTGGGCCTTGGCCTTCACAATCATTTACCGAGGAGATTAGGGTTTAGGGTCTAGGATTTACCAGTGAGGGTCTTTCGAAACTTACAAGTTTAGCTGCTTCTTGGGGATTATAATAATCAAATTTGGAAAAAATATTCCTAGGCACCCCGAAGAGTAAGGATCCTTCTTTTTCTGGAGGCTGGGAAGCAGGGTCACTCAGCCGGGAATCTGAATTCGAGCCCGAAGAATACCGCTGTGTGCACACACCCGGACTCAAAGCTGAGATTCAGGCGCGAAGCAGAGGCGATGGCCCCCCAAAGGGCGAGTGCTCCTTGAAGACCTGGTATCAACATACGGCATTGTGCTGGGTTCACGCATGCTCATGGCTCTTCCACAAATGGGGTCATGTTGGTTTGCAAGCCAATACATTTCTTGTGCGGCATGTGCTTCATCACAGTGCATTCTGACGGTGTATGTAACAACATGCAAGTCTATCACACTTAAGATTAAGCTGCGAAAGGGCTTTTCGGTCTTGTCTAGACGGCTTGATTGAAGGATCAAGTTCACGTGTTCCAGGCAAATGCATCGGCATCTCGGACGCTTCGTGACAAAAGCACGCAAGCTTGAAAGTATGAAACAGCATATCTCTGTCTATACGTACCTACGAACCTACAAACCGCCCCATGCACCCGGATACCTTCTCATCTGGCTCGAAGCTCAGGGCTCTGTCTCCGTCCATGAGGCGAAACAAGCCATAGAGGTCCTTTTTCTTGCAAAGGGTTGTAGCGCTTGAGGCTTTCCAGGCTTTATGTCTTTGGGGATTTGGGGTATTGCAGAGATCTGGGCATAAAGGCCTAAATTCACATGTCAGGTGGCTGAAATAACGTGCTGTTGTTGCTGTTATTCTCTGCAAACTCTGCACAGGTAGTTTTCAGTTCTGAGCACACAGATCCTGCTTAATCTCGCATTGAAACAACAACCGAATCCAGAGCCGTCATGATTATCCCTAAACCCCACGAACCTTTCGTGCACCCTGTAAGCGGCATTCATCCGCTGTTCCAGACCATAGTTGTACCATGCTCCCTCCGCACCCACATCACACGATGAAAACACAAACGAGAAGTACTCTGAACACGTCTTCGCAGGTCAAAACTCACAACTTCATTAACAAGGGATCTTAGGATCTGGTTTCCCAAACCTTGAGCCCCGAAAACAATCAATACACTATGCCAAAGTTCTGATGGGGGCTTGGGGGGCGCTGTTGCCTTGGCAATTGCCCTGAAAAGGGATGGGGGTACATGTTATATACGATCGAAACACGGGCTCAAAAGACAACATGTACGTATGTATGTTACGGCGATATCCTTACATGGACACCGGAACCCGCGCAAAAAGTCTTCATGCGATTTTGAACTGAGGATCCCGCGTGACCAGCTGGGGGATTTTTGTTAAGCTAAGGGCTTCCACTACGGTCGCTCTCCTAACGCGGGCATGCTTCACTACGGCCTGCTGAAGCTTCAGCCGCTCGAGACCCCTTAAAGAACTACAACTTTGAACAACAAGGCCTAGGATTTTCAGCCGAAGGAAGGTATTTCTAGTAACTGCATAATAACACCCAAAACATACACTTACAAATATGACAGGACGCTTAGACACACTCCCTGATACAACCGAGCTCACATGGAGCGAAAGCATACTAAACCCGGTCTGCTGAGATACCTTTCACTCTACCGATTGTACAGGGGAATCCCGCGTGTCTTCGAGGCAACGATCCTCGCTGGAACTGCTCTGCTAAATCACTGATGTTTCGGGTCCTGGAGCGAGTGGTTGTCATTGAATGTCACCTGGACAGGAACCCTGAGGCCCAAAGGCTGCGGGCTTCTTGATGTCGGAGAACAACAAGAGCACATAAGGTGGGGACCCATGCCGGAATGTTGGGGTGCAAGGAAATGCATTCGCCAAAACAGATCCATGCAAACTGCCGTGAACGTCGGACCAGTCTGCGTAGCACCAACAGTACGAGTGATACGAATAGTACTCGCGATATCAGTCGCGTTAGTAATGCTAGGATTGCTCGCGCTACTAGCGCTCACTACCTAGAGTACTAGTAGTGCTGATACCACTCCTACCAGCTACGACGACGACCACTTGCACCACTCCACTGCTCGCTGCTGCTGCGGCTCCCGCTGCAACTGCTAATGGCAGAAGAGAAAAGCCTAGTAGCAGGTGGAGCAAGCTGCGGCAGCAAAGCAGCAGCTGCAGAAAGAACAGTAACGACAACCAGCACATTAGACTCGGGGGTTCGCACTTCTCGGCTTAGGAATTCCCGCGGTGCGAGAAGGTCATGTTTGGAAGCTGGAAACCAGAGTCTATGTGAAGCCTGCGCATCTTAAGGTCGGCATCTCGGACATGTCGGAGAGCCTGTTGGCATGCCGCGCTCTTGTGCGCGGAAGACGCGTGCCAACGGCTCCGGGATCAGGTTGGTACGGATGACGAGAAGAAAAATGAACTGGTGCATGTGGAAACGTGTGGAACAAGGACAAAGGTTCAGGCATTGGTGGAGTGGTCCACGCGAGATTGATGGTCATTGTGTTTGTGCTTCATGCGGTAGTTGAAGACACTCGTACCACACAGCAGCGCAAAGCCCACACATTAAGGCGCAGTCCACATCACTTGCGAGTTTCTCAGAAACTTTGCACATGGGTCGGCAACCGTGTGACGGCAATAGCGGTTGGTCTACAGCGCCTCAAGAAGGGCGCAATCTGGCAACGTGTAAGTTGTTGTTTCCCTTATGTCATGGTCTCTGTCTGTGGCTTATATTGGGATTAGTACTGCTAGGGCCGTGTCTGCTAATGCTCCCTCTGCTCCGAAAAAGTTCTGCGAGCTGCTCGCCTCAACTTGGGCCTGCCTCACTGCTGAAGCCATTTCTAGGACCATCGCCATGCACCACGGTTGCTACAATCACTGCTCCTCGCGCTTGGTGCGGTTATCGACTGGGGCGGTAAACAATTACTTATCTTTGTACCGCTCTGACTGCCTTGCAGCTGACTTCACTGACCGGAGTGGCTGAAAGCACGACTTCCATGGGCCGTACTCGTGTTTCTGGTGCTATGAGCATCCCAGCACTGCTGGCATGACAGTTCGTGCTACTAGTACTACTTGTTTTTGCTCACTACAAGTAGGACTCACGGCTTTCGCCTTGGCACCCAAAACTGAACTCAAGGGATTGGACCATAACAAGATTTGGGTGGACAACCACAGGCCGCAGGGTTTCTTGACGCTCGCGCTCGGGCATGTCAGGCAGGGAGTGTTACAACGGTGACTATATAAGTGATAGCGTTTAGACAGTCTGCGAGAGCATGGCCTCTCAAAGCCCCAGATCAATGAAGCATGAGGTTTTGGGTTTTGGCTTTCGGTTGAGGGTTTAGGATTAGGGTCCAGGGCTTGGGGCCCAGGGTTTCGACGCTCGCACGGCGATGTGGTCTTTGGCTTAGGGCTTATAGGGTTTAGGGTTTAGGGCTTAGGGGTTATAGGGTTTGGGGTTTTGGCACTCACACTCGGACTGAGGCAAGGGTTTGGGGGTCTGGGGTTCTTGGTTTGGAATAAGTTGTCTTGTGCCTCCCGCCTTGCAAGGACGAAACTACGGATTCAGCGTGCAGGGCCCACCTAAACAGGAACCCTCAAAAGGTGCGTTTTTTGGGTACAGTTTTTTTTTTGCTTCCTGCATTCGGGCACCAGTAGAGTTTAGGGTTTTAGGTTTAGGTATTCGAGCATGCCCTCAGCACCGCAAACCCGAAGACACTGGAAGCCTTTAAAAAAGATGTCTGGGTGAATCGTAAGCAGCTAGTTAAGCGCACTACAACATAACCCGATGTCCTCTCAAACGAACTGACTCGAGATGTTGGCTTCTAGTCCTTGGGCTTAGGGTTGTTTGGTTGAGGGCGCGGCACTGTTTAGCACTGTTTTGGGGCTTAGGTTGTAGAGCTTAGGCAGTTAGGGCCTATAGGGTGTCCATCTGAGCAGCTTTGCCCGAGAAAAGGGCTATGTATCTGGTAAGTTGGTGTGGGGCAGAGTTTTGGCGGTTCAAACTCGACACAGCAGCTCTTGGAGCCGATGTTGCCACATTTGCAACCCTGGGTCATGATCATACCAAGAAGAAAATCAGCGAACCCTCAAGCCATCCCTGCCAGGAGGCCGGATGGCCAGGGGGGACAGGCCAGCAACAGCATTACGCCAGCCATCCAAAAGGCAAGAAAGAACCCTCACGCGACCTTCTTCACTCACCAACTAAACATAGGCTTTAGGCTTTTAGGGTGTAGAATTTAGGTTTCAGGGCACCTGGCCCCATGATTCTGAAGTGCACCGTTGCAGAGCCCTAAAGGCAAGCGAACGCAGCGACCAAAACCTTCCCAAATAAAAAACTACCAAACCCTGAACTCGGATGGTGTCTGGACCTTCTGGCTCCAAGGGTGTCAGTCGTAAGTAGAGTCTATTTAGATACGAAATCACAACAGGTAAGTCAGCTAAGTGAGCTACGACAGCTACGACTCCCTGGAGGCTGACTACCTGCAGACATGCCGAAATGCACCCAACCTGGGGACCACGGCACCCTACCCTAAACCCTAAACCCCTAAACCCCTAAAACCCTAAACCCTAAACCCTAAACCCCTAAACCCCTAAACCCTAAACCCTAAACCCCTAAACCCCTAAACCCTAAACTCCAGCAGACTCCAGCAGACTCTAGCAGCAGTTGCTTCAGCAGCTCCGGCCTCATCCAACGAAGAGAAGAACTTCCGCAGCGTTTCGCGATTCCGAACCACCTGCTCGGAGATGCTTGCCGGAACTTTTCTCATTGCTCACTAGTAACCCAAAATCCTCAGCTCTGGGATCGGGCACGTCGGGGATTCACAAGCAGTTGGCGGCCGAAAGTCTACAAAACTGACGGCGGTTGCTATTTCAACGGGCGCCACTGCAGGTCTGGCTCCGGCTGCCACCCTAAACCTTCAACCCTAAACCCTTTCTTGGTACTGCTTCCCCACCCTCCCTGAACCCTAAGCCCCCCCCAAACTGCTGAACCCTCCCTCAACCCTAAACCC